ACCATAAAACATCCGTACCATTACCCTATGTGCAAGGCTGCTTTTATTGGGGTTTGTTTGATAAGAGGTCCTCATTATTACAGCCACATGAACAATCTCCTAATGTAGGTGTGCAATGGCCATTTAAAAGCATCTTACTGGCCTTATGGTTAAGGCTTCCATTTCCCAGTGTTTGGAGGACACTGTTCAAAAGTTATGTGTGTGTGCTGTGACTGCTGAATGGTCATACACCTGCTAAGATGCTTTGTTTCTGATATTGCCCACATAGGCTCATTGGAACTGTCTCAAGTGGGTCTAGGCACAGGAGCTGTGCTCCTCTCCGTGGCTGCTGCACCAATGGATGTGGCTCACATGCATCTGTGCAGACAGGAGCTAGGACCAGCATCAACCTCCAGCAAATGTGGAACTACAGCAGTGCTTCCAGTCACAGGTGCCTTCATGATGCAGTAAAGTTGCACGAGATCCACAGTTGGTCATCTACCATGGAATGATATGCAGATGAAAGGCAGCAATACCATACTGTGTCCAGGGGTGTAGTTCAGAATGTCATTTCACACTATCCTGTGTGCATGTATACCTTCTTCCATTGTTGGGGTGTGTTGCAGAGGAGGACATAAGATGGCCAAGATGCACGTGACATCAAGATTCCATGCAGGTCATATCTGGGTCTTTGTGCCAGTAGCTTCCATCTCTGGGGCCACATATCTGCAGAATCTCTGCTCCAGACATCTGGAGAATGCACCAAGGCTATGGGATGGACAATGAGGATCAATAAGAGTTGCAGTATTGTATGGAGTAAGAACATGAGGGTATTCTTCTGATGGAACAGCACCTTCAGCATCCTACTGCTCAGTAGCATCAGCCAAAGCAACACAGGAAGGACATATTTGTAAACCTTGTTCAATAGAACTGAATTGCATAAAGTCATCATTCACTGACTGTAAATGTCGTGCAGAGGACATGCAGGGTTAGTAGCATGGATGTAGTGGGGTGGGTGAAAGCAAATGAGTGAAGGTGCTGCATGTAATGGTGAGAGTGGTGGACTGTGAGCCTGGGTCTGCTGTAGCAGCAGTTAGACAGAGCGTGAAGTAGCAGAGAGAAGATGATGGCACTAAAGGAGTGTAGAACGTCTTTAACTTTCTTGCACATTTTTGGGCATTCCTCCAGACCATGGACACCACAGTTACCCAAGTGGCACTGTCGGACAGGTTTGGCAGAATTTGGTGCCATGTTCCCCTCTGGCCACTCTACGGATAAAAGATGGCTCTCCTCCCCACCATCATTTTGCTGGGACCGCTACGCCCTGTCAGAAAATGGAGGTGGTAACTTCCCTTTCTCAGCCATCTCTGGGACAATTCCTCATAGTCAGGATCTGTCCAGGTTGGCTCTTGACTGACAGGGCCTGACCTGGTGCTTAGCTGCATTTTAAATATAGCGCTGGCTCCAGGAATCCTGTGACGTCCCAGAAATGGTGAGCACTGTTGCCATGACTAAATGCATGAAAGCACAAGAAAGAGACCACAGAGGCGTGGCACACCTATGATAAAGAAATGTGAGGTAACTCACTGGAGTTCATAGAGCAAAACCCTCCATGAAACTCCCCGAAACTGATAGCTGATTTTGTATAAAATTCAGCCCTATGCATTTCAGCTTCTACACAGGAAGGATAGAGTGGTAGATACCTTCTGAGAAAAGAATAGCCCTAACCTCTGATATATGCATGTATTTTGTTTGGAACAATCCAAAATGTTAAGCTACTTATCTTGCATTCAGAGAGACAAAGGTTGAAGGCTGAATAACTCTTGTGATGTTATGATTTTATGGAGGTTTAATGGACTGATGATGGGACTTTGACAATGTAGATTGTACTCTCTTGTCATGTAGCATCCTGAAGAAATTTACTGGACTGAATGAAGTTTGGCATGTCGATAACACAATATAAATTGTTCCTTTTGCTTCTTGTTACTCAGGCCGATCTGTTTAATACTATTCACGTACACATGTATGAGGCTTGTATTATATCATCACAGTCAGTCTTTCTTTTTGGAGCTAATTATCACAAAACCGAAGATATCATTCCATTTGCCTACCGGATTTGAGAGCCTATTTTGGAAATCTAGTCAGTAACTCTTTTGAGGTTAAATAAATTAAGCTTTATTAACTCATTAAGAAGCTAGTTTGTGTCACATTTTTGACCTATTGGCACTTTCAACAAAAATATAAATGTGACTAATTGGTACTAGCCTGCAGTCTTAACTGCTAATAACAGAAACAGGCTGTCCAATTCAATTGCACTCAAGGTGCTAATTTTAAAGTATGATTATATTTGCAACATGAGTGAGTGACATAAATTTGCACTAAAACTGTGACTGATGTCGTGCTGCACCGCCAGAGTTCTATATAACACATCTTCACTTCTCCACATCCTCAAGTATTCATCATTTAACTATTTTTATAGCAATAAACCATTTTTACAACCTAATAATAACCCTTTAATTATCAGCCAGTTATAAAGTGACAGATTTTAAAGCATTTTACTTCTATTCCCTTTCCAACTACTGGTGATTAACTCACTAATCATTTTATTTCCACTTGGCATGGAGATCGTTACCAGAATTTTCTGTTAAATCTGTTTCCATCCTGAAATTAGTAGTCAATAAAAAGCTTTAAACATAGTTTCCTTTGCTAATTTCTAACACACATTATGGGTTGTACTTAATATTTCACAGCATTAATTTTTTTTCAAACTTCTGAAGAAGCTGAACAGATTTTTAGATGGCTTGGGAATGAAAAGCGATTGTCATTAAGCAAACACAAATGTATCAGTAATGGAATTTATTCATATTATCTCAATGATACACTGGGTTTGTGTGTTTATTGTGCCATCGTGTGCAAGAACTTCGATCTCATTCTTCAGCAATGTGAAAGGCTGATCTCAGTTACAATCATTTTCTGAGCTCTGTAAATTCTGAGAATTAGCTTAAAATCATCTTAAAAATGAGTTTTGATATGCACACAATAATATCAGTTAAGAATGTTACAACTCCCCAAAAATGTTTATACATAACCATTTGGACACAAGCTCGAACATTTCCCTGGTTAATCATGGTTGGCTTATCCCCATCTGAGAATTCTTTCTGACTGGGATATATCTTTGTTGTGACCTTATATTCTTAAACATCTGCTATTGTTTCTCAAACACCCATTCTGCTAAACTCATTTGCCAGTCCACTCTTGCTAGCTCTGGCCTCATTCCTTTGTTTATTATGCTTATTTAAGTTTAGCACAGTTGTTTCCAACCCATGTTTCTTCCTCTCAGAGTGATTCCTAAATGTTACAATGTTATGGTCACTGTTTCTTAGATCTTTTATTCTGATGGCATTTATTAAATCTGCCTCATTTGACATCACCAGGTCCAAAATAGTCTACTTCCTGGTTGGATCCACAACACATTGTTCCAGGAATCTGTCCTGAATACACACTATGAATTCTTTCTCAAGGCAACATTTGAAATATGACTTTCCAAATCTGCATGAAGTTTAAATTGCGCACGATTAATGTACTGACTTTTTACATACCCTCCGTATCTTCTGATTTATTCTCTGTCCTACTGTATAACTACTGCCACAGGGCCCATAGATAACTCCTACCACTATTTCCTTCCCTTGTTTTTCTTACCTCCAGCCATTTGGATTCTACATTTTCCAATCCCAACACATTTCCTGTTATGGTACTTCTTCCAATCTGTACTAATAAGCTGCCCCACCACCCTTTCCTTCCTGCCTGTTCTCTCAAAAAGTGACACACCCTGAATATTTACTTCCGAACTTGATCTCCTTGTAACCATGTCTTGTACTGTAATGCTATAAGATCACATCCATTAACCTGTATGTATGCTGTTAATTCATTTATTTTGTTCCTTATCTTTGTCTTAAATGCAAGACCACTAATTTTTAAACTATGTCTCCTAACCCTAGTCTCTTCCACAGAGGATGCAACATAATTCTGTCAAATTCCCTCAGATTCTTATGCTTCAATAAGATCATCTCTGGTTCTCTGAAACTCCGACAAATATAGGCTTGGCATGCCTAAACTTTTGTCATAACATAACACCCTCCATCTCAGGTATCAATCAAGTGATGTTTGATATCAAATCATTAATTGATAATGTACTAGTGCATGAATCATAAATAGTAATAATAATTAATGTTGTAATGCTGATTACTGCATAGCAGGAAATAATTTTCTTTTGAAATCCTTGGTTATACAGCTTAATAAAATGTTAGAATGCCAAGCCAACTGTGTGATAGCTTCCATATTGTGTAAGCAAAAGCAAGACATTCTTTACAGACGCCTGGCCTGCTGAACATGAAGGTAAGTGAGCAGGACCAGTTCAAAATTGACGTTCAACCGTACTAAGCATTTGAGGTAGAGGCAGAAAATAAAATGGATGGTCGATAATCAGCCTGGAAGACCGATTTGACTGAAACCTCCTTACTTCAAACAAGTACAATTTCAGCAGGGTCACACATTTTTGTCAGTGAAATTACAGTGGAGGCTATAAATTAACACACAAAAAGAAACTGTTTTTTTATCAGTCAATAATAATTTTAGTAAATTTCACAGCTTGGTTTATGTTAAGAGTGTAAGAAAAGTCTGGAATGAACCCAAGGCTATTCCATCATTAGGATCATTCCCTCAGCACATTGATTCTCCTGTTGTGGCATTTAATTCTGAAGGCTGTTCTCACTACACCACCCCCTCCAAATCTTATTGGTGATAGATGAGTAATTAGTTTTACTAATTAGATATGGAATTTGCACTAGGAAATTACCATTAGTTTAAGATTTGATCTGTGGGATCAATTAATTCCCACTATTAATAAGTAGCATTGCAGCAAATGTTAAGCAATTCATCTATTTCAGATGTGATTGGATAGGTAAACAAAAGCAGCTTCTTTGTTTCCTTGTAAATGTCTAGAAACTAATACAGTGTGGTTCTATCACTTTATGTACAGGTAATCCTTCTCAACACAGACACAGCCCTGTTCAAGCTGCTTCATCTGGGGCTCACTTGGACACTTTTTATGCCACAATTCAGACAATTAAACATTTCACTCAGCTCCCATTTGATGATTACAACAACATTGAAGTTATACAATGTATAAAAAGTCAGTCAATATGAAACACATACAAGCAATATACAGCTAGACAGCTATTTAATTTGAAGTTCAAACCTGAAGTTTGCAATAACGTTGGTCCTTTTTCAAAACATAAAATCACACATCGAAACAGTTTGAAAACAATGCCATCTCTACAAAGTCAAGGTCTCATTTCAGTGGGAGTGAGTCAGTGTAATGAGCCATGGCAGATAAAATTGTATAACACCAGTATGACTAACAAAAGGTTCTTTTATACTGTATAACAAAATAACAAAAGTTAAAGAATCATTGGATCAATAGAAGACAATTACGTTAATCATTTTATATGAATTTCTTTTATTATCTTGTTGGTCACATTGTGCTTCATGCCTCTGGTTCATATTCTTGATACTCCTCCTAAGATGTAAAGAAACAGAAATTACCTTTGTTTCCAAAATTTCACGAACGGTTGATTCACATTTTCTTTCCACACAAGCGTAAAATAGAATTCATCACTTCCAGCTTTCTTTTTAGCACGTATGGTATGTGTATGCCTGCACTGATTTGGTTCATTATGATTTCACAATTAAATTTAATTATTTGAATTTGTTCAGCAGCTGACTGACATTTTCCTTAGTCAATGCTCCAGGTCAGTGAGATACAAATACAGATATGTGTTGTGTACTTAATGCACAGTGAATTCATACAAAAGCAATAGGGCAGTTCACTTTAAAATTAAATGTCACCTAAAATGTACACCAATTAAAAAAAAAAAGCATAAGCCAAATATAATACTCCAAATTGATTCTTATTGAAGTTGAGTATATTTTAAAATAATTACCAAGGAATATATATTTCTCAAAATAATTAATTGAGTTTTGCAGTTATCTCAAAAAAAAAGCAGAGTGGCAGAACAGGTTTGGGAAACATCTCACTCTGTAGATCAAGTCAAGCTATTAGGATGAAAGTCTCTGGTGATTGAAGGTACTTAATAACTAGTTGCGCTATGCAGCCGTCTAGCTGTATTTTTCTGAAGAAGGGTCCAGACCTGAAATGTCAGCTTTCCTGCCCCTCTGATGCTGCTTGGCCTGCTGTGTTCATCCAGCTCTACAGCTTGTTATCTCAGATTCCCCAGCATCGGCAGGTCCTACTATCTTTGTGCTATGCCAACACCATTTGAAGTTAACACAAGTACTAAGGCTAAGATCCTCCACAATTCTACAATAATGATGACAGCAGCAGGCTACAGATGTAGCTGGTCTACATAATTTGGAAGGTTTTCGAATCATGATGTGTTCTCTGGTGATTCTGCAGTTGAGAAACATTGTAGGGGAATGATGGAAGGTCCTTAACTTCACATTAGCTCAAACTTTACCAATATGTTGATACCAAATATTCCATTAATTGTCCTCATTTAGATTAAGAAGGGGAAAATGTTAATTTAAAAATTCAACAACAATGAATACAAGTAAAAGACGTAAATGACAGATTTCAACTTTAATTTTATGTCTTTTATTTTTATTAGCATAATAATGTTTTCTAAATCTGACCATGCCAACTATTGGAGTGGGACCTTTGACCTGAATGAGTGGGTGGTCACCTATCCTGCTGGTGGTCAAGGTGACAGCTGCACAAAACCTTTATGCAACTGGCTGCTTCCAAAAATCCACTTTAGACCTGTGAGGGATCAGATAATCCTCAACCCACAAATGTACTAAGTCTATTACTGAGATAATTTGTGCTAGATCACACCATTTCATCTCATTACTTAAATGGAAAAAACTGCAGAAAGCTGCAATGCAGAAGGACTTTGAGGAATTTGTGCACAAAACACAGAAAGCTGGCACGCAGGTGCAGCAGGTAATTTGGAAAGCTAATGGAATGTTGGCCCTTATTTCGAAAGAGTTTGAGTGTAAGAGTAGGGAGGTCTTACTGCAACTGTACAAGGTGCTGGTGAGATCACATCTGGAGTACTATGGGAAGTTTTGATCCCCTGATTTAAGGGAAGATATCATTCGATTGCAAGCAGTTAAAAGAGGGTTCACTTAGATGAACCCCGGTATGAAGGGACTGTCTCATGAACAAAAGTTGAACAAATTGGGACTATACTCATTGGAGTTTAGAAGAATGAGAGGTGATCTCATTGAAACATATAGGATTCTTAAGGGACTTGACAGCATAAATGCTAAGAGAACACAGGGGAGAGTCTAGGACCACAGGGCATAATCTCAGAATTAACTGAAATGAGGAAGAATTTCTTCTCGCACAGGTTTGAGAGTCTTTGTAATTCTTGCCGCATGGAATTGTGGGGACAGAGTCCTTGTGTACATTTAAGGCTGAGGTAGATTCTTCATCAGTAGGAGATTATGAGGAAATGGTAGGGAAGTGGATGGAAGGAGAGTCAGATTAGCCATGATCCTATTGAACAATACAGCAGGCTTGAGGGGCTGAATGGCTTACTCCTGTTCCTATTTCTTATGGTCTTATGATCTTATGGTGACAAGGTCAGTGCTGCAGCCTGGCCAGTATGCTTTGCCAACATAGCTGGCATCCCCAAGTTCAATGGCTATAGATTTTACTGCGACTCTTTGAGAATGTCGTATTGCAACAGCTGACTAAACAAACAGAAAAGGATTCAATTCCATCAATTTATAATTAACCAATGATTAGAAGTCTGTGCCAAGTACCTTGGGAGACACCATGTTGCTTCTAACCTTGAGAGTGCTTATTTTTCTGCATTGTTTCCAGGGCTGGATGCCTTTTAAAGCTGGTTAGGCAGAGACAGAGCCTACCCTCTACAACCTTGACTAATGACTCTGTTACACAAATCGTTTACTTAGGTCAAGTTTTATTTGAGCGCTTTCCTCGACCAAGGCCTTGGTGAAATTGATGACAGGCCTGTTGAAGATGAGGTTCTGATGGGTGGATTGATCTGGACGGTCTTTGCATACTGTGATCTGCAGAGCTAGACCAGACAAAGAGGGGATGTGATGGACATTGGAGAGCTCGGAGAGCAACATCAGTCGTCAGAGGACAAAACTGAGGACATTGAGCGGTGTAGCATCAGGCATAACAAGCCAGACAGAACTCAATTGACACCCATCCCAATAGATGTGAGTTGGGTGCAATGACCACTTCTTGACTGTAAATTTGTTGCTGCTCAAAAGACGAGTTCCCAGCAGCAAATGCAACTTTTACTTTTGCCTTTCTCTTTGCTTTCACTGTTGCTAAATAAGATTGAATGCTTCAACCATTACTGCTTTTTAGTATGTGATGCTCCCACAACGAACAATGAGAAGATGTTAAGCTATGCTGTCTTTGGGGAAAAGTAGCACTCCCTTGGACAGGGTTCTAAGATGGGATCAAGCTAAGGGCGCAAAGTCTATGTAACTGATTCTTAAATAGCAATATGTACATGAATGCACTTGTGTTTGCAATGAAGTGTCAGCATATCACTTATGTGCTCTGAGAACCTTTTCTTTTCAGTTCCCCACCTAGTACATGTACAATGAAGGGCAAACCCTGGCAGGCAGAGCTTGACCTCATGTAAGGATGGACTTTATAAATGGTGCAGGCAGTGGTGAGAGGGAAGATATGATGAGTGGGTCACCATGGTGTACAGGTAATGAGGCAAGTTGCAGAAAATGGCTTGAGCAAACCCCCTAGAGCTCTCAGAGACAAATCCTCCATGGTACCCACCAAAATTGATATTTAGCCAATTTCAGAAAAAATCAGCCCCTTGAGTGACTGCATGAGGGGAGGGAACTGCAAGTTCATGTGAGGCTTCCATTGTCTTAAGATAGCCTGAGTTACTTAAGACCAGCCTGTGCCAGATGTAACAGATGTAACTGTAATGGATACTGCAAGTGATTTGGGAGATGTGTTCAAACTGGAAGCATATTGAAAACGGAATAACAGAGCAGAATGCAGACTCCAGTGTAGCCTGAGATCTTGGTGCCAAGAATGGATGTAAGAAAATAGATCCTTTATTCAGTAGGGACCAGGAAGGTAGCTAGACTGATACTGAGAAGGCAATGGGAGCAGTTGTCACAATCCGAGTCAGCATTTTAGCCCCAAGAACCTGGAAGTAGTGCTGCAAAAAGTTCAATGATCTTGATAAGATGCGTGAATACATCTCCACTCCCACCAAATGAAGCAGTAAGCACTGCTCAGTTTATCATCATCCTGTGTCACCAGCAAATAACAATCAATCACGACTCATATCTCACATTAATAGCTTCACCTCACCCCTGTACATTTGCACTACTGCGAACCTCACACCCACCTTTCAATGCGTGCATGCACGCGCACACACACATACGCACACACTGTCAGCTATTGAACCATAACACACAAAATACACAAATGGATTACATAGAGATCACTGACACGCTTCCCACAGTCTTGCAGAGCATGGACCTGGTACAGGTGCAGCCTGCACTGAATAACCTTTAGGGGACAAGCTGGGATACATATCTTCATCCTGATGGAGAAGATGGTTGGTGGCAACATTCAAGTGGTCATGTCTGAACCAAAGCCAGCAGCAGAGATAATGCCTATTAGATAGATAATATGCTCCTATGTAATCGTCCCTCTCACACCAAACTCAACTGCATAAGCTCCTCTGATTTACAGACAGCAGACAGTCTGCGATTGCACATCTTGCTTTTACACTTGCCCCTACAACCCACTGTCTTAGTATTATGAGGACTCAGTGAGAGTGTAAAGTAGGAGTCATGCGAGACAAAGATAAGGGTGGGTCAGGTCTTTGTAGTATAGCATGTTTTTATAAACTGTAAATAGTTGCACAGAAGCAACAAACTACATTAGTTTACTCTCTAAGACTCTACTTCCTAGACCAATGGTCAAGGAAGTTGGAGAATTTCTCCTACCAACCTGAAAAACTATGGCCTCCTGTTGCGTGCCTTTCTTTCCCCTCTCTCCTCCCTCCTTCAGCAGCTTATCTTTCTCTCTATCAGCTCCATTCATCCTCCTGTCATTGTTGAGAATAGAAACTATGGCACTCATGACTAGGAATGACCTGAACACACCACTGAAGTCAGATCCAAGGGCTGCGTCTTTGCCATACCTCTGCCTCAATTAGGTCTGAGGTAGGAAGGCTCATGGACTGCGCTATCATTGAGTGAACATTGTAGCATACTCAAAATAAAAATGAGTAAATATTACCTATAAATCAATAAACTGTCTGATGTGCACCGAAAACTGAATGGCATCAATATATAAATTTTGATAAGAATCTAATCAAATAAAAACACATGGAGGTCCAAAGTTCAGCAACATCAGTTAATGCTACAGCACTGAATTTAACTTCCCAGACATGAGTTGATGTCCTTGTCACTGCATTATCCCTAACACTTGCCTAGATGTTTTGTTATAACAAGTTTTGTCCTAGTTTT